GCCTCGGCCTCCCAAAGTGCTGGGATTACAGGCTTGAGCCACCGCGCCCAGCCAGAAGTTATTAGAATTTTAAGGTGAGAAAAGAGTTATAAAGAATACTTAGCATGTACATGGAAAGCTTTGCCTTATAAAGTCTTCTTATTTGCTTCTCCTAATTGCCTTGTGATAGTGAAGACAGCTGTATTCCTGTTACATGGGAGGTCACAACACATGATCAAACCATTCTAGAGCAGACTCTACATTGTGGCTAACCTTGGTGGCACTTATAGTGGTCACTGAATCCACACTTCAAAAAAATATTATTTTTTAGAGTTTTCTAAAGGGAAAAGAAATGTATCTAAGGATCCCTCTTTGAGGAGGATGAATATTATCATTCTCCTTAAAGAACCTAACAAAAGTTTCTAATGACAGTGACCATAAGTAGTCTTAAAAAGTAAAAGCCATTTTGTAAAAGAGAGATTTAAAATACCAAGCATTAAAATAATTAAAATACCTCAATGCAGACGTGATGCATTCCTCCAGCCTTGTTTTTCTGCAGAAAACCTGCAATTGGACTCTCACTTCCCAATGGATGAAGCAGTTCCATCTTGGTATTTCCCAGGTTGACAAAAACAACCGATACTCCATGTTCAGGAAGAGGGACCGCTTCACTTACCTGGGCCCCCAAAATATTCTTATAAAATGCTGCAGCCTTTTCCAAATCTGGCACTGCTATGGCTACATGATTGAGTCGACCCAGGTTCCACACAGGACCTGCCACTTGATCCAAGGGCTGTGACGTGGAAAAAGCTCTTACGGTTCGAACTGGAGCATGGAGTCTGGAAAAAAGCCCTAGAAAATTGAACAGCCATTGAGATTCTTCTTTTGAGAATTAATGCACTTCTAAACTGAATTTTAAAAACTAAACAAATAATGCATGCCAAAATTCACTATTTATGTATCTGTTCTTTTTAATTATTAAAATGAAACCAGGAGATAAATGGAAAAACTTAAACCAAAATTACTCACTCGGCTCTGCCCATTCAAATAAACTGACTAGAATAAAAAAGCTAATTCTGAGCTGCAGTTAGAGTTAAAACACAGAATAATATTTTTTCATAATAATTCATAATTACTGGTAACACTTAAAGGATAGTGGCATATTAAGAATTACTTGCTAGCCTCTGCATTTCACAGGGGGTAAGTTTGAATGTGACAAACAACACATATTTCATAATGAGAACAAGCAATTTTCTCTACCTGTACCCAATTTTTTGTCCTATATTTTGTAGTAAGTTCATTAAAGGTATAAATATACAATTCTCTTTTATTGTCTATTTACTTGAATGATTATAAACTAAGGAAAATGTCTAATTGTTGGGGAAAAACCAGCAAAGATCAAGAGGATATTTAAATTATGAGGATTTCCTCTGAGACCAGATTTTTAAAACTGTTTTATAATTTTTAAGGATTAGAGGCAGAACTGCTTCCGATGTGAAGAAACCTCCTCTCACTCAGTAACTGAAGAAGGCTGCAAGGTCTTTTCCTCATGTATTATACTGCTTTCTGATTCCCCAAAACACAGGAATTTAAGAACCAGATTCCTCCCAGAAGGAAAACCATATACATGTATGAGGTTCAAACATAATCTTGTAAAACTATATCATTTAATAAAAAGGTATGAAATAGCAAAGAATACATATTTTAAATAAGTTGTTAGGTCTTAATGAAAAACACTTCAAACAGTATCTACTATTATAGAGCATTAGCTAACAACAAAAAATTCCCCTTAACTGAAATTTTTGATAACAAGGAAATTAAGGTGATACTATTTAAGATCATAAACTTGATGCCTCATAAGTCAGTAGAGGGCAAAATTCAGCCTAAGATGGTCTTCTACTATGCCCCAGTCTACAAAATATCCAAAAGATTCTCATCACCATCAGGTTAATATAGCATAGTTCTGTTGATTTTTTTTTTTTTTTTTTTTTTTGGTGAAACAGTCTCACTGTTTCACCCAGGCTGGAGTGAAGTGGTGTGATCTGGGCTCACTGTAAACTCCGCCCCACGGGTTCAAGCAATTCTCCTGCCTCAGCTTCCAAGTAGCTGGGATTACAAGGGCCCGGCACATATCCGGCTAATTTTGTATTCTTAGTAGAGATGGGATTTCACCACGCTGGCCAGGCTGGTCTCGAACTCCTGACCTCAGGTGATCCACCCTCATCGGCCTACCAAGTGATAGGATTACAGGCATGAGCCCCTGCACCTGACCTAACTTTTGTATTTTTAGTAGAGGCAGGGTTTTACAATGTTGGTCAGGCTGTTTCTTGAACTCCTGACCTCAGGAGTTCTACCCACTTCAGCCTCCCAAAGTGCTGGGATTATAGGGAGGGGTAAGCCACCATTCTGTGGTATATACACACAACGGAATATTATTCAGCCTTAAAAAGTAAATTCTGACACATGCTAAGATATGGATGAACCTTGAGGACATCATGCTAAGTGAAATAAGCCAGACACAAAAAAGAAAAATAGTGTGTAATTCCACTTTATATTAGCAGTCAGAATTCACAGAGAAGGTAAATGGTGGTTGCCAAGAGCTGGCTCAGAGAACAGGGAGGTGTTGTGTAAACGGGTACAAAGTTTCAGTTTGGGTAAGATGAAAAAGCTCCCTAGAGGAAGGTGGTGACTGTTTGTTGCACAACAAAATGAGTGTAGTTAAAGCCACTGATATACTTAACAATGTTAAAATGGCAAATTCTAGCTGGGCGGGATAGGTCACGCCTGTAATCCCAGCACTTTGGGAAGCCTTGGGGATAGGTCACGCCTGTAATCCCAGCACTTTGGGAAGCCAAGGCGGGAGGATCACCTGAGGCCAGGAGTTGGAGACCAGCCTGGCTAATATGGTGAAATCCCGTCTCTAATAAAAATACAAAAAATTAGCGGGATGTGGTGTCAGCAGGCGCCTGTAATCCCAGCTACTTGGGAGGCTGAGGCGGAAGAATGGCTTGAACTGGAGAGGTGGAAGTTTCAGTGAGCTAAGATCACGCCACTGCACTCCAGCCTGGGTAACAGACTCTGCCTCAAAAAAAAAAAAGGTACATTTTCCTTTACATATACTCAATCACACACACACAAAAGTGGAGCCATTAAGTTTCAAGTATTTCAATAAAACAAAGTCAATCTTTGGAATACACTATCTTCATTTTTCCTTTATGCCAAGAAGTGTATGTAAGTTACAAAACAAACATGCATCTTTATCTGTATTCAGTTCTTGCAGTACGTATATGACCTGTTGGAAGTCATACTCTTCCTAAACCGTCAACCATTAAAGTGTGCAGTCTAAAAATACAGACATAAAAGTACCTTTTCCCAAATATTCATTTCTTTATATTTTTACATTCCGATTTTGTGTATCACCTAAGGAGAGGGCATGCCTTACGGTTAAGAATGTGGGCTCTGCTACTAAAAGGATTTACATTGAATGTCCCAGATTAACTCTGGGCATTACCACTTGGCACCTTCTTCCTAACAGGGAATCTCAGATTAAGGTAAATGCTTGCCTTCTCATAAAAGGGGGAAGAGGAAAAAAAAAAAGAATAAAAAGAGGAGTAAGTGAGAGTCAGAAAACGTGACAATTATGACAGTTATTTCTGTCACAACTGGTTCTATCTACATATTTTTTAAAAATGAAAGCGGAGCGAACTCAAGGAAGTTTACAAATCCACATGTTTTTATCTTTCTAAGTACGTGATAATAAATATATTAGTGGATATGGGAAAAAAAGCCCTCCTTTTGGGATTTTTTTTTTTTTTTTTAGAGAGGGTCTCGCCCTCTCGCCCAGGCTGGAGTGCAATGGCGCAATGTCAGCTCACTGCAACCTCCGCCTCCCAGGTTCAAGCGATTCCCCTGCCTCTGCCTCCCGAATAGCTGGGATTACAGGCGCGCGCCACCACAACCGGCTAATTTTTTGTATCTTTAGTAGAGTCGGGGTTTCACCATGTTGACCAGGCTGGTCTCGAACTCCTGATTTCGTGATCCGCCCGCCTCGGCCTCCCAAAGTGCAGTGATTACAGGCATGAGCCACGGCGCCTGGCCTCCTTTTCTATTCTTTACACGACCTTGGAGTGTTTCCAATAGCTGATCATGCTAGGAGTTCCGCCGAGGAGGACTTGCTCTCCTCTCTGGTTTCTCCCCAGTCTTTTTATTGGTGCGCGGTAGAATAACTTAACAACCCGCTTCTATTTACTTCTGTCCCTGGCCTGCCTGACCAGCCGGGCAAGTTCCCTTGCCTCTCCTGCCCGCATGCTAGAAGGTGCAGCGCCCAGGGCAAACAGCTCCTAGATGGCAAGGGGACTCATGCACAATAAGGCAACCCCCGCGCTAAGGGGAGGCGTTTCTGGAAGGGACCCCCTAGGTGCTGGCAGCCACCGTAGAACGCGTCCTCGGAGGAGAGAGGGCATTAGATCAAGGGCTTTGGCCACGCCGAGGCCTCCTCTGCCCCTTGACCTCCGTTCCCACATGCCCAGCCCCACGGCGACCTTCGCCGGTGCCCAGTATTCACCCACGGAATTCGCGGCCGCCGCCTTCAGCGCGCGCGCCATCTTGGAAAGCAATCCGCTACATCCCGACTAGCTTGGGACCAAGAGAGACGAGCTGGGGAGGGCGGGGCGGGAGGCAGAGGGGGCGGGGACAGATAGTTTAGGGGCGTGGCGGAGGTCGCTGCTTTCCTGCTACAACATGCCTACTTTAGCTAAAGGAGGAACTTAAAGCCAGAACTGGTCACCCTTTGTGGGCCCCTGAAAAATACAAAACGAAGTTTGGAGAGAGTTCAAAGGCGTCTGGGCTGACCATGGCGATTTTTCTTTCCCGCCCCCCTGCAGAAGCGAAAGCGCTCGCGCCGCCTTTGGCTCCAGCTGAGGGTGAGTCCGGAACCCCCTGTGCACAGCGGAACTTTCGACTCTGAAATCCAAGTTGTGCTAGGCGCATCTTTGCGGAGCGGTTTCCTGGCGGCTCACTTCCCTTGCATGCGGCTTTGTGTCGGGAGTTCCTGACAGCCATGGCACCGACGTCGACAGTCTGGCGTCGACGGACCCTGGAGCTCTGTCTGACAGAAGTCGGCAAAGCCACTGGTCGGCCCGAGTGCTTCCTCACGTAAGTGCGCGGATCCCGGGCTCTGGGTGCGACCAGGGTCTCACGTGGACGCGGGTTGCCGGCCTCCGGCAAACTGTGGAGCTGGGGGAAGGTAAGGGGAAATGTAAATAACTTTTCCCCAAATTTCAGAGTTTATACCTTCCTAGGCTATCACAATTTTTAAAATTGTTAATATTTGTACAGTATGGATCTGTCAGTTGAGTGTTACTGTAATCACCCCAACCTCACTTATTAACGCCTAGATGCTTCCCTTGAGGCTTCTTTCGCCCCCATCCGTCTACACGCAAGCTGTTGGTTCCAACTATATGCTCCTAAAGCACTCAGTGTTGAGCATACTTTTTTGAATGTATGAACTGGTCACTTGTCTCTCCGCCCCCACCACTAAGCTTCTTGATAATTAGAACTTTCATGTCTCTTCCCAGCACAAGTGTTTTACACGTATTTTGTTGAAGAATTTCAAATATGATCTATAATATTATTAGTCATTTATATTTCAAACTCCAACCTCTCCTTGAGTTCCCGGCTCATAGTAACTGCAGACTGAACTTGGTTTGAATTCAAGTTCACAACTGGGATATCCGCACTGTACAACTTTTAACGATTTTTAAAATTTTGGTACTGTCAAGCATCTCAAATTCACTGTGTCCAAAATAGAGTTGTTGTTTCTATTTAATAGAATTGTTGTTTCTACCCACCTCTACTCTGCCATTCCCTGAAGTCCTTTTCCCATGCTCCACCATGCAAGCTTTCCCTGTGTCAGTAAATGGCACTTCTGGCTTTCCAGTTGCTCAGACATAAAACTAGTCTGCTACTTTGATGTCTTCATTTTTCTCTATTCTATATCTAATATCTTAGCAATACTGTCAGTTCTCCTTCCAGAATATACTCAGCATACTCACTGCTCTAACTCCAGCTTCAATCACCATTATCCTTTGCGTGGAATGCTGCATCAACCTTCTAATCATTCTACTTTCCTCCTCCGCCCTCCTCCCCTTCTTCCTTCGTGTAAATCATCATTTCATCCCTCTGCTTAAAATTTTCTAATGTTTTCTCTTTACACTTTAAAATGGCAAACTCTTACTCCTGAGCCATGCATATTTTGGCTCCCATCAGTCTCTCCAGCTTCACCTTCTGCCTCCTTCACACTTTAGCCATGCTCACCTTTTTGTTTCTCAAGCTCACCTCTAGAGGATTTGCATCTTAGAGGATTTGTTCTTGCTGTTTCTTCTTCCTGGAATACATGTTTCCCAGTCTTTATGAGGCTCTTTCCTTATCTGTAAGTTTAATCTCAGATGTGGCATCTAAGAGAGGTTTTCCTTGACCACTGTAGCCAAAGCAAATGTTGATCATTGAATGAATTAGTGAATGAATGAATGGAGTGGTATATAATGTAGTAGAATTGATAATTTAAGGTTAATTCACTATATATCTCCAAGCAAATAGATTTGTAATGGTTTTCCTGCCCGAAATCTATACAGCTAATAGACTGTACTTGGTCGACAGGTTTTATAGATCAGTGTAGCTCATCAGCTTATATGTTGTTGGGGCCAGAATCTATACTTACACTTCATTCTGATTTGATTTTACAAGAGTTGGGTTTTTTAATCTTTATTAAGAGTGCTGTGAAATTATTACCTATAATTCTAAATCTCACTTAATTCCTCCCAACAGGATTCAAGATGGATTGGCATCAAAGTTTACTTCTTTAACAAAAGTGCTTTATGACTTTTATAAAATATTAGAGAATGGTAGGATCCATGGAAGCCCTTTACAAAAACTTGTGATAGAAAATTTTGATGATGAGCAGATTTGGCAACAACTGGAATTGCAAAATGAACCAATTTTACAATACTTCCAGAATGCAGTTAGTGAAACAATTAATGAAGACATCAGTCTTCTCCCAGAGAGTGAAGAACAGGAATGTGAAGAGAATGGTTCAGAGATAGAGGCTGATGACCAGGAGGACCTAGAAGACTTAGAGGAGGAGGAAGTGTCAGACATGGGTGATGATGATCCTGAAGTGGGTGAGAGAGCTAAAAACTCAAGCAAATTCGATCTGAGGAAAAGCCTAGTTTTCAGTGATGAGGATTCTGACCTTGACTTTGATATCAGCAAATTGGAACAGCAGAGCAAGGTGCAAAACAAAGGGCATGGAAAACCAAGAGAAAAGTCCGTAGTAGACGATAAATTCTTCAAACTCTCTGAAATGGAGGCCTATTTAGAAAACATAGAAAAAGAAGAAGCGGAACAAAAATATGATAATGATGATGAGGAGGAAGTTATTGATTTTTTTGAAGATATTGATTCTGATGAAGACGAAAGCATACTGTTTGGAAGTAAAAAACTTAAGGTAAAGTTTTGAGAAAGGAGAGAGCACTTTCCTCCTAAAATTAGCTTTTGTTCTATTCTAGGGGAGATTTAATTGTAGTTAGAAGATTTAGAGATAAAAAACATTGTGCTCTATCTTATCAGTTGTAAATGAATCTGTACTTCCATTCACTTTATGTTCCAGTTCTTATAGTTTTATGGTAGTGTTATTGCCAGTTTCACCTAATAACTTTTTAAATTATTAGTTGTGAGTTTATAGTGTTATTAAGACAGAAAGTAATGTATACATACAAATATATATGCATGTAGTTTTTTGTTTTTTGAGACAGAGTCTCACTGTCGCCCGGGCTGGAGTACAGTGGCGCAGTCCCAGCTCACTGCAACCTCTACCTCCTGGGTTCAAGTGATTCTCCTGCCTCAGCCTCCCGAGTAGCTGGGATTACAGGCACCCGCCACTGCACCCAGCTATTTTTTTATTTTTAATATTTAGTAGAGACCGGGTTTCACCATATTGACCAGGCTGGTCTCAAACTCCTGACCTTGTGATTCACCTGCCTCAGCTTCCCAAAGTGCTGGGATCACAGGCGTGAGCCAGTGTGCCTACCACATGTGTGAATGTATTTTTCTATCCCTAATTAATAGTTTTAAAAATCTTTTCATTTTAGTCAGGTAAAAGTTCCAGAAATCTGAAATACAAAGACTTTTTTGATCCAGTTGAAAGTGATGAAGACATAACAAGTATTCATGATGATGAGCTAGATTCAAAGAAAGAAGACGATGAAATTGCTGAAGAAGCAGCAGAACTAAGTATTTCAGAAACGTGAGTACTTTGAACCATCCTTCACATTGTGACCTGGAATTGCCCAATCATGTATGTGTGCTCTCGTAGTTGTCAGATGTGTTTATCTTAAGAAGTTAGATTCAGTAATACCAGTTATTCTCAAGATAGCCAGAGGAAAGTTGCTACATGTAAAGGGACATTAGAGATCACTTAATGAAGAAAAATATCACTGGTAGTAGCAATCAAACCTTTCTTACCAGGAACTTTGATTTGATTTTGTGCCAATAAAATCCTGTTATTTTTGTGAGATAAGAGATTTGTATATAGATTGATGAATAATTTATTTTCTATCTCCTGGCTGCTTTTTGTTCTGTTTCTTACATAGCATTTTACCTAAATGATATCTTTTGTTCCTTAATAACTGAATGATTTCGGAAGTTCTGAATATTTGGTTCCATTAGGCCTATAAAAGAAGACCTTTATTAAGGGAAAATTTGTTTCCTTCTGTTTTTCTTTTTTTATTTTTATCTTTTTTTTCCTTCTGTTTTTCTGATGGAAAGTAGTATACTTCTTTTTATGAGACTTTTGGAATTGTAGGGATGAAGATGATGACCTTGAAGAAAGTGAAGACAGTAAACAACATAAAGAAAGCTTGAAAAGAGTGACCTTTGCTTTGCCAGATGATGAGAAAACTGAAGATACAGGTGTTTTAAATGGAAAGAAAAACTCTGATGAAGTTAAATCCTCTTTTGAAAAAAGACAGGAAAAGGTAATTAGGAATTTAAGGAATATTTATTTATTTATTTATTTTTTTTTTTGAGACGGAGTTTCGCTCTTGTTACCCAAGGCTGGAGTGCAATGGCGCGATCTCGGCTTCCACAACCTCCACCTCCTGGGTTCAGGCAATTCTCCTGCCTCAGCCTCCTGAGTAGCTGGGATTACAGGCACATGCCACCGTGCCCAGCTAATTTTTTTTGCATTTTTAGTAGAGACAGCGTTTCACCATGTTGACCAGGATGGTCTCAATCTCTTGACCTCGTGATCCACACGCCTCGGCCTCCCAAAGTGCTGGGATTACAGGCTTGAGCCACCGCGGAATTTTTAATATGTTTAACATGGTTGTGGAACTCACAGACTACTGATGTATCTTCCCTATTTTTCTTCTGTTAACCATCCTTTGAAAACAAATATCTTGACCAGGTTTAGTGGCTCATGCCCGTAATCCTAACACTTTGGTAGTCTGAAGCAGGAGGATCACTTGAGCTTAGGAGTTCAGAACCAGCCTGGACAACATTTGTCTTTACCAAATATACAGAACTTAGCTGGGAATGGTGGTATGTGCCTGTAGTCCGGTGGCTGAGGTGGGAAGATCACTTGAGTCTAGGAGGTTGATGCTGCAGTAAGCTATGATTGCATCACTGCTCTCCAGCCTGGGCGGCAGAGCAAAATTTTGTCTTCAAACAGACAAACAAAAATCTTGCTGCTACTCTCTAAAGTTCACTGTATAGAGATGCCATAAGGAGAGCATCTGATCTGCAAAAGTCAGTGCCTGCATTTCCCAGCCTATAGCTTTCAGTTTGGGGCCTGTGAGTAAAATAGTTGTTTCTGCTGGGCACAGTGGCTTATACCTGTAATGTCAACGCTTGGGGAGGCTGAGGCAGGCGGATCACTTGAGGTCAGGAGTTCGAGACCAGCCTGGCCAATATGGTGAAACCCCGTCTCTACCAGAAAAAAAAAATACAACGATTAGCTGGGTGTGATGGCAGGCACCTATAATCCCAGCTACTCAGGAGGCTGAAGCAGGAGAATCTATTAAACCCAGGAGGCAGAGGTTGCAGTGAGCCAAGACTGTGCCACTGGACTTCAGCCTGGGCACAGAGTGAGACTGAGTCTTAAAAATAAAATTTTGAAAAATAGTTGTTTTGGGCCGGGCGCAGTGGCTCACGCCTGTAATCCCAGCACTTTGGGAGGCCGAGGCGGGTGGATCATGAGGTCAACAGATCGAGACTATCCTGGTCAAAATGGTGAAACCCCGTCTCTACTAAAAATACAAAAAATTAGCTGGGCATGGTGGCGTGTGCCTGTAATCCCAGCTACTCAGGAGGCTGAGGCAGGAGAATTGCCTGAACCCAGGAGGTGGAGGTTGCAGTGAGCCGAGATCGCGCCATTGCACTCCAGCCTTGGGTAACAAGAGCGAAACTCCGTCTCAAAAAAAAAAAAAAAAATAGTTGTTTTTTTCTCTGTCTTTAATGTCTTTATATGTATAGCATGTCTCTCCTGATAAAGCTGTCCTTTGAGCCTCGTAACTATTTTGACTGCTCTGGAGGACACCTTGTATGTCTTTTTTTATTTGAGATGGAGTTTCCCTCTCATCACCCAGGCTGGAGTGCAATGGTGCCATCTCAGCTCACTGTAACCTCCACCTCCCAGGTTCAAGCAATTCTCCTGCCTCAGCCTCCCAAATAGCTGGGATTACAGGTGCCTGCCACCATGCCCAGCTAATTTTTTTGTGTTTTTATTAGAGACAGCGTTTCACCATGTTGGCCAGGCTAGTCTCAAACTCCTGACCTCAGGTTATCCACTCATCTTGGCCTCCAAAAGTGGTGGGATTATAGGTGTGAGCCACTGTGCCTGGCCAACACCACCTCTGTCTTTGAGGACCTCCACAGATTTTTGTGAGTGCCAAGTAGCTGGAATTTTAATTAATACCATCACAAACATACTTCCAGAGTTCGTAAAAATTGTTTATGTCATGATTTCAGACAAGTGAAATTTCATTTAATTTTTGTAGATATAGTCTGGCTCTAATAATTTGGCTCCATCATATATTTACCTTAAAATTTTTATCACAAAGTGAGAATAGCACCAGGCACAGAGGCTCATACCTGCACTTTGGGAGGCTGAGGAGCAAGGATTGGTTGAGCCCAGGAGTTTGAGATCAACCTGGGCAACAGGCTGAAAGCCCATCGCCACTAAAAATTTTAAAAGTTAACTGGGCATGGTAGTGTGCTCCTATAGTCTTTGCTACTTGAGAGGCTGATGGGGGAGGATCTCTTGAGTCTAGGAGTTCAAGGCTGCAGTGAGCTATGATTGCACCACAGCACTCCAGCCTGGGTAACAGAGCTGGAGACTGTCTCAAAAAAAAAGAGAGAATAGGCAGATAATAAAAGATACCAAGACTGTTAAAAGAATTGTTTTTAAAATCTGCGAATCTGAATTAAATCCGTGATTGTCAGATTGTCCCCAGAAGATAGAGAAATTCTAAAGGAAAAAAAAAGCACCGTTATATAGTGTATCGAGTTAGTATCCTTCCACCCCACTCTTCCTACCGCCCCCCCCACAAAAAAAGAAAGAAAGGTTTGGTTTTACCATGAAATTAAATCAGACCTTCAAGTTAAGTTTCAATAAATCAATTTATTTCAGTTTCCACATATAAAGAATAAAGTAGAACTTTGAAACTTTTTTTCTGAAACTGTTAGAACATGAAAACCCAAACCTGACAAAGGTAGCATTAAAACACACACACACAGTCTCATTCATGAATAGTGATGCAAAAATCCTATAGCACAGTGGAAAAATTATGCCACACGACTGCATGAACCTTATTCACTTGAATCAGTATTAGAAAATCTAGTATGATTCCTGCTTATGACGTTAAGGAGAAAAAACATATGGTCACCTCCATATATGTCAGAAATTCAATATTCATTTCTAATTTTTTTCACCCTAGTGGAATAGAAATACATCTAGCCAAAAGCTGCCATCGTGCATGATGGGTGAAATTCTAGAAACATTCCTTTAAGATCAGGAATAGGGCCGGGCGCAGTGGCTCATGCCTTTAATCTCAGCACTTTGGCAGGCAGATCATGAGGTCAGGAGATCTAGACCATCCTGGCTAACGTGGTGAAACCCCATCTCTACTAAAAATACAAAAAAATTAGCTGGGCATGGTGGCACATACCTGTAGTCCCAGCTACTCAGGAGGCTGAGGCAGAAGAATAGCTTGAACCCAGGATGCTGAGGTTGCAGTGAGCCGAGATCGCACCACTGTACTCCAGCCAGGGCGACAGAGTAAGACTCCATCTCAAAAAAATAAAAAAAGATCAGGAATAAGACAAAATGTCTTAACACTCTTTTAGAAGCATAAGCCAGTGCAACTACAAAAGATAAGAGATTAGGAAAACTGCCGGGTGCAGTGGCTCATGCCTGTGATTTTAGCACTTTGGGAGACCCAGGCAGGAGGATTGCTTAAAGATCAGGAGGTCTAAATGTATACTAATTATTTTGTCTCTTTCTTAGATGAATGAAAAAATTGCATCTTTAGAAAAAGAGTTGTTAGAAAAAAAGCCTTGGCAGCTCCAGGGGGAAGTGACAGCACAGAAGAGGCCAGAGAACAGCCTCCTGGAGGAGACCCTGCACTTTGACCATGCTGTCCGGATGGGTACAGTGCTCTCTTCTGTAAAATGTTCACTTCTGTGCTTTTTCTGTTGTTCTATTTCATACAAAGATTTGGAGTGATGTTTCTTCTCCCTCAACTTTTTATTTTAAAAACTTGTAAACACATGGCTGGGCACAGTGACTCACAGCTGTAGTCTTTGGGAGGCTGAGCACTTTGGGAGGCCGAGGCAGACGGATCACCTGAGGTCAGGAGTTTGAGACCAGCCTGGCCAATGTGGCAAAACCCTGTCTCTACTAAAAATACAAAAATTAGCTGGTATGATGGTGGGTGCCTGTAATCCCAGCCACATGGGAGGTTGAGGCAGGAGAATCACTTGAACCAAGAAAGGGGAGGTTGCAGTGAGCCAAGATCACACCACTGTATTCCAGCTTGAGCGACAGAGCGAGACTCTGTCAAAAAAGAAAAAAACAACTTGTAAACACAGAAAAGTTGAAAAATACTACAGTGAACATCTGTATGCTTTATTCACCAGTTACCATTTTGTCATATTTGTTCTCTCTCCCTGGCGTATGTCAGATTTTACATGTGCCCTTTTTTTAAGTAAGTTGCCAATCTCATGGTACTTCACTTTTAAGTACTTTTGCAGATAAGAACTAGGACATTCTCCTATTTAATCACAATACCATTAATACACCCCCAAAATTTAACATCCATATACTAACGATACCTAATGTATAGTTTATAATCAACTGTCTTGTAGTAATCTATTCAGAAGGCTTACATCCTGTTATGGTCCACTGATTACATTTTAAACTCTGATCTGCAACCGTGGTCATCTCATTGCTTTTTTTCTTGTTCCCTTTAAGTCAAAATGAGTTTTTATTTTATTCAATGGAAGAGAGAATGGAAAAGAGGGGAAGAGTCCTTAGGTACCTTGGATAAGTATTAGCACTTACTACCATATGTATTCTAGTTTTGTGATTTTCAAACTTCAGGGAGCATCACCAGGCTTATTAAAGCACAGATAGCTGTCCCTCTTCCCCACTTTCTGATTCGGGAGTGTGGGGATGGGAATTTGCATTTTTAACAAGTTCCCATGTGTTGCTGATGCTGTGGGTCCAAGGACTGCAATGTGAGAATCAGCAGTCTAGTGGATATCTGTCTAATGAATAAATACTGTATTTCCTTAGCACCTGTGATTACAGAGGAAACCACCCTTCAACTGGAAGATATCATTAAACAGAGGATAAGAGATCAGGTCAGTAAGAATTAAATTTAACTTAATTGAAATGTCACTGAAATTTTAGAAATAATGTGAGAGTAGGAGTGTTGCTTTTTATTTTCAGTTAATGTTCACAAGCCTTACGTCTAGGCTACCCAGGCAGCTTTTGTTGTGTGAGGTGCTGCTCTTTAATAGTACCTAGGAAAAACGAATATTGTGCCTGAGAGAAGCCAGAAGCCATTATCCTTTCTTGTGAGTCTTGCTGACCTTTTGGGTGGTACTTGATGAAGCTGGTGGCTGCCCTCTGGTGGTTGTACCCAGGACACTTGGCTTAGGCACAGAATCTGGTGTGGCAAATTACTCAGTATATTTGTCTTAGTCTTTTTTCTATTTCCTTAACAGAATATCTGAAACTGGGTAACTTATAAGCAAAGGAATATAGTTATGGAGCCCGAGAAGTCTGAGGTCAAGGGGCCTTCTTACCAGTGGACATTCTGCAGAGTCCTAAGGCGGTGCAGGGCATCACCATGTGATGGTGAAAGGGCTGAGCATGCTAAAATGCTGGCTCAGGTGTCTGTTGCTCTTCTTAAAAGCCACCATTCCCCCTGCCTGATGATAACCCATCAATCCATGAATATAACTGCCATTCCAGAGGGCAGAGCCCTGGTGATCTGGTCATGTCCTAGAAGGCCCCACATCTCAATATTACCATGTCAGGGATTAAGTTTCAACATGAGTTTTGGAGAAGACATTCAAACCCTAGCATTGTGGTAGTACTACAATTTTAAAACCATTTCTGAATGGTGTATTTTTTTTTCAAATGTTAAAAACCTAGTGGGTTTTGTTGAAGAATCGATCTGATTTTGTAAACTTAGAATAAAACTTTGATATATGGGATGTATAGTAAGAGATGGCCTTATAATGTGTATAATGCTTGCCTATGCTTTTGTGTCTAAAATAGAAAGGATTTGAAGGGTGAGTATCATGTGCAGAATATCTTAAAATTTGAAATGAAACTTGTTAAACTAACTCAAGGCTTGACTTTTAAACAAACTGTGATGGGAAAATGTGGAATTAAAGTTGGTAACCAAGTAGGAAGACTCATTTTAAACCAAAAACAGAAAAGGATACCTTCTTTGCTTTCCTAGTGCTTATTTTTTGTGATTCGAATAGTTTTTTCAGAAGCTGAAAGTTTTCTTTTTGCTATAATTTGCTTACTCTGGAATAATAAATATTTATTATAACAATGATGTTTGTCATAATTAATACATTAACAATAATTTATTAATATATTGATAATTATTATAATAATAAATATTTGAGAGGAAGATTCTTAAGGGAACCTAGAAATAAACTGTAGGTTTTGTTAACTTATGTTCTACCTGCCCTTTATGTTTCAGGCTTGGGATGATGTAGTACGTAAAGAAAAACCTAAAGAGGATGCATATGAATATAAAAAGCGTTTAACCTTAGACCATGAGAAGAGTAAATTGAGCCTTGCTGAAATTTATGAACAGGAGTACATCAAACTCAACCAGGTGAGAGAGCCTGTAAGCAAAACCATTGTTATTAAAGAAACAGAAATAGAGAACTAGGTTTTTTGTGACAGTTGAAATCATGAAACAAGTCTTGAGCTCTTCAGCTACCTCGTTTAAATATGAGTCAGAGCATGTAAGGAATAGAAGGGTTATAATATCCCCAGTTTATGTGAGGGGTTGGGAGGTTTGCTTTGCAATTAGGCTTTGGTCACCTGATACTTTTACAACTAATTATTAACTTTCTAGCAATTATTATGGTGGTGCTACAACTTTAAAGCCATTTCTCATTGACATTTGAAGTTACTGGTATATTTTACATGATTATGGATTCTTTCTGATTTTTAGGCCTGGTTCCTCTTTCACTTAACTAAAAGAAATCTCTGGGCTGAGTATGGTGGTTCACACCTGTAATCCCAGCACTTTGGGTGGCTGAGGCGGGTGGATTGCCTGAGGTCAGGAGTTCGAGACAAGTCTGGCCAACATGGTGAAACCCTGTCTCTACTGAAAAATAAAAAAAACTAGCCAGGCGTAGTGGTGTACACCTGTAATCCCAGCTACTCAGGAGGCTGAGGCAGGGGAATTGCTTGAACCAGGGAAGTTGGTGGTTTCAGTGAGCTGAGATTGCGCCACTGCATTCCAGCCTGAGTGACAGAGCGAGACTCCATCTCAAAAAAGCAAAAACAACAAACCCACAACACACACAAAAGAAATTTCTGGTTAAATAATAGGACAAGGTCATATTTTCAGGAATATTATATGCCTATATGATAATTGAATTTTTCCTTCACATTTGATTTATTGGGAATATATTTAATATGTACTTTGGGATCCGGTGGCATTTTTCTTCTGCAAAAGCCATTTACAATTCCTACCAAATTTTGTTAATAAATGCCCCTCAGGTAGCAACAGCAAATTGCCCTGATGCCACTGTGAAGTTGAAGAACTGAAAAGATTTGAATTAAAATTCTTCCTGGCTACCTTGCAATCCAAAGTGGTTGCTGAAAGAGGATGTGTACAGTTTCATTTGAGTCTTTGAGGAGATTCAGTAAATACAGAAAGTATTGGTGACCACAAGAGTTAAAACTTAGATATGTAATGCAGTAGCTTATGCCAGCTCTAAATGTAGTTTTATTTCTCTCTCAGAAGTCAACAGCGAGTTAAGAAGTTTTTGAGGATAGACTTGGATTTCTAGTATATTCATTAGCTAGGCTAATTCTAGAAGTGAAATGATGGTAAACAGCATATGTAGGAGCCTTTACTCACAGTTGTATATGTATTGTGGCTCAGAAAATTCTAAATAGCAAATACATTGCTATGTATTTGATTTTATGGATATTGTTACCTAGAATAAGGTGAAAGGACATGTTTAGGATTTTTTAAAGTGTGAGGTAAGTTAAAATAGTAAGAAGCAGTAATAGCGTGATGATGCCTGACCATGGCTGGAAGGTGGGTGCTGATGATGGACATTGGAAACAGACCTGGCTGCGTCTCTGTCATCAGGGTCAGGAGGCAAAGAGCCCGTTGTTTCCAAGTTTTGGTGGTTTTTTTTTCATGTCTTAATAACAAACAAACAAAAAGCCTTCTTAGCCATTTAGAATAAGTATTTGGGGCCAAGGGGGACAGAGAGAGAAGCATTAAATTTACATTTTCTCTTCAGTAGAATTAAAATTGCAGTCAATATTTAAATGTGATTTGTCAGAATAAATCTTTAACACATTACATTTAAATAAAAGGAAAAAGCCCCTACCATCCAAATGGATGTTTGGTAAGTTGATGAAGTCTATATTAACACTACTTCTTTTTTTTCTTTTTAATTGATGTGAGATTTACATAACATAAAATTAACCACATTAAGTGAACCAATTGGGAGCATTTAGGACAGTGTAACTTACTAGTTCTATCTAGTTCTAAAACATTTTTATCAGCCCACAATAAAGCCCCATATGCATTAAGCAATTGCTCCCCTTTCCTCACTTGCCCCAGCTCTAACAACCCCCAGTCTGCAGTCTATCTTTGTGGATTTGCCTATTCTGGATATTTGATATAAATGGAACCATACAATATGCAGCCTTTCATTTTTGACTTCCTTCACTTAGCGTCATGTTTTCAGTACTGCGGCATTTGTCAGTGCTTCATTTCTTTTTTATGGTTGCACAGTATTCTATTGTGTGTATGTACCACAGTTTATCTGTTCATCCGTTGATGGGCATGCAGGCTCTTATCACCTTTTGACTGATAATAGTGCCGTGTACATGTATTTGAGTACTCGTCTTTAATTCTCTTGGTTGTACACCTAGGAATGGCATTGCTGGGTCAGATGGTAATTCTCTGTGTAGTTTTTTGAAGACCTGCCAAGCTTGTTGCCACTGTGCCTGCATCATTTTATATTCCCATCAACAATGCACAAGGGTTCCAGTTTCTCCATCCTTGCCAACCCTTGTAATCACTTGCTGTATTCCTTTAAAAAAAATTATTCCTTTATAAAATTATATAGCCATCTTAGGAATAGCTTAGTTTTTGGCAGAAGTAAATGCCAAGAGAATTAAATTTTTAGCTTCTGAATATTAGAGGTAATGGTTACTGTAGTTCCTAAAATGCACATCACATCTCTTCTTTGTAAGTGCTGGAACTCTCACAGTACTGCTACTTTTAATTTTGCTTTTGGAGTGTTTCTTTGTAGCTGAAGCTTTGGTGATGAGAAACTGGGAATACCCTCACTGGCCTTTAGTGTTTTGTCCTGTGATATGTATCAAGCCACTTAGTTTGACATTGTTGAATTTATTTTCTAAGCAAAAAACAGCAGAAGAAGAAAATCCAGAGCACATAGAAATTCAGAAGATGATGGATTCCCTCTTCTTAAAATTGGATGCCCTCTCAAACTTCCACTTTATCCCTAAACCGGTAAGTGTGTTAACAGTTCAGTGTGTAGCTAGAGCAGGATGACATTAATAGCTCTGATCCTTTGTGAGACTAGTTCATTGTTTCAGGATACAAACCTGCAGTAGCCTCCTGTAAATTCCAGGCAGGGTCTCCATGAGGAAGGCTCACTTCTGGTCCCATGAAAGTTCTGGCTCTACCCAGATCTTCAGTGAGCCCCTGCCAGACCCTCTGCCATAGCCACAGGGACTCCTCCCTTCCCCACCCTCTGAGTCTTCTGTTGCATTTTCATTGTATAATGGGTTTGGAGACATACGGATATTTATACCCAGCATTCATGGAGTATCTGCTATGTGTCATATTAGATTCTTTACATACATTAATACTTAATGCACACAACACTGAGGCAGGTACTATAGTTTCCATTTTGCAGGTGAGAAAACCAGTGTTTAGGAGGCAGGAGGTTGAGAGCTAACTCTGGGCCCATGTTCTCTCCACTGCATGATGTTCTCTTACTAGGCCCAACCCTCTCGAATGCCCTTCCGCTGTCTGTTTGACTGTAATCCAGACTTTGCTCAATACCTGTCTACTCCTCGGAGCCTCATCTCCTACTCACTAGCTTCTGTGAACCCATAAAACATGCTTGTGCCATCCTGTGGCACTTGCTCACCTGTTGCCCTTTGGTGCCTGTGTTGTTGTCTGAAATGGAATGTCATGAATTAAGGACTAGTCTAGAAGTCAGAACCTGAGTTGAGTTCTGCTCCTAACTAGCTTTGTATATGGGCAATTGCTTTATGTTTCATCCATACAGAAGAGCTCATCTCCAAGATCCTTTCTATTAGTTGATGGCTAGGTGATTTTTTCCTATGCAAATATTTTGTCTTAGGAAGCTTTTATTACCTGTTTTTTTGTTTCATTTTGTGTATATGTATGTTTTTAATCTAGTTGTAATTACATGTAAGCAAGTTCTTGATGGCAGGAGCCATCTTTAGATTCCCAAGATCCCTACTATGGGCTGTGTAAAATAAACAGGTGAAGAGGTGAATGGAAGTTTTCAACTCCTCTTGTCCATCAGGTCTTACTGATGTGAAGAACATGGGCCCCTTCTGGGCCTTACCTGTGTGATCTGGCTCTTCCCACCCCTTTGGTCTCCCCTAGCTTGCTACCCCAAGTCCTACTAATCTTCCGATTCCTTCAGAAGGCCAAGTCCCTTGCACCTTCTTGCTGTGCTCTTCCCCGGCCCAATAGGCTGCACTTCCTTTTTGGCATGGCTGGCTCCTTTTCATTGCCCAGGCTAGATGCCTTCCCCTCCTTGCAGATGTTCCTTGGCTCCTTACCTAGGGTAGACTGCCACTTCCCACCTTGATGTATGTCTCACCACTCGGCTCCTTTTCCTCATACCTACGTCGCACACTCTCAGTCATTGGCTAGTTCATTGCACTCTGCTTGTCTTAGGCAGCACATAATGCGTGTACTGTTCCACTCTGTTCCTCACACTAGCTGGGATCTAATGCAGGGAACCCCTTAGACATTCCTTGGAATATTGAGAAGTAAAGGAGAAGTGAATGTATTTGTGTCTGTGTGCCCCAAATGAAAAGCCTTTCTTTTTTCCCGTAAGTAATTTAGAATTGCTAGTGTAGGTTCCCCTTGATACTACATTTTTCATGTTCAAGTTGGTATTTCACATGCAATCTCTGTAGACCCCATTTATCAATCACAGTCATCATTGTTTGTGGCTTTTTTTTTTTTTTGGAAATGAGTCTCACTCCGTTGCCCAGGCTGGAGTGCAGTGGCACAATCTTGGCTCACTGCCACCACATCTGGCTAATTTTTTTGCATTTTTAGTAGAGATGGAGTTTCACCATGTTGGCCAGGCTGGTCTCAAACTCTGACCTGAAATGATCCACCCACCTCGGCCTCCCAAATTTCTGGGATTACAGGCATGAGCCACCGTGCCTGGCCTTTTGTAACTTTTTGCACTGTCTTCTTTTCCTCCATATTTCTCTTAAAATGCCTGAATGGAACACAGTGTTCTTAATAACAGTTGAACAGTAGTTGGTCCAGTGGAAGAAATTATTTCTTTCACACTCATTTTTCTCTTACTTAGAATCCAGGATCCTATTGTGTTTATCGCTTGTTTTTATTCTTTGTGAAGTTTCCTTGAGCAAATAACTCCATGGCCAGTACGGTGATGAGGAAGAAAGGATGCTAATGTAACTGCAGTATATAGTTACCATTTTAATCGCAGGATCAGTATGAAATCTGTTTTAATGACTGCATTTCTTGGGTAGTTCTTTCAAAAAAAGACAAACTGAAGCAGACGATCCTTCAATTAACACTGCTTTCCCCTTTTTGTAATTGATAGTTTTGATTTATTTTGATACTGTTTAGTTTTTCAAAATAGTTCAGTATTATTTCATATTTATGTTTATAGAGATGTTTTCAGTTGTTGAAAGATGAGGAAATTTATCAGCAGTCTATATTTGACTCTTGTTCTCATAAACATCTTTCTTTGCATCTTTTCCTGTACACTTCTTAGAGCTAGCTTTTTTTTTTTTGTAAACAAAGTCAGATAATATTAATAGAAATCAGCAGATCTTACCAAACAGCATTATAGTTGTTTGAGAATGTCCACATGCATGGTGGATAGGAATGGTTGAGGAAGAGATGGAAGAACTGATGTTTGAAGATGGCAGAAATGTTATGTGAAAATATAGAAATACCTGCTGTTGGAACGGTTTTCAGACAGAAAACCCTAAAATACCCAGGTCTCTAGGATCCTGAAGCAGCTTGTGCCACCCCTCAGCACTGCTGTCATGCCAGTCAGCTTAGGATTTTGGCTGTCACCATATCTAACATTTTAAATTATTTCCCTTAGGTTTGCTGACTTTCAAGCAAGTGAAAAAAAGATAATCTCCATAAAGTATTTTATATATTATACTTTAAGCTGGCTTCCTATTGAATGTATTACTTCTTTTCTAGCCTGTACCAGAGATTAAAGTTGTGTCAAATCTGCCAGCCATAACCATGGAGGAAGTAGCTCCAGTGAGTGTTAGTGATGCAGCTCTCCTGGCTCCAGAGGAGATCAAGGTAAGAAGCCAGTGTGGAAACCTTAAATTTCTGTTACAAGTTAGTTGATTATAGCCAGACTCTGTTTATTTAATGTCATTTGCCCTGCATTTGCAGTTTTTAATCAATGTATCTCAGTAGTTTCTAAGTAAAGCAAACTAGTAATGTTATAATATTCAAATACCAGTCTCCTATATTCTGGCTTTATTATGAGGGTTACTGTAAAAGCAGTTATAAAATAGCTAATATCAATATCTTGTTATAATCCAGTCTGAATGCTGGCAGTGATGGTGAGTTTCAAACCAATTGTTTGCATTGTGTATGCACTAGCAATAGTTTAATATCAGCATTTCCCCCTTATTTTATCCCTGTGATGCTAATTTGTATGGAATATAGATCTCGAATGGAGCATTTGGTTATCAGAAGAGGTTGGATAAATCAAATGCAGCAATTCCTGCCATGTGAACATTGATGTCCATGCCTTACACAGTAATAATGATATTTCTGCCAGGTGCTCATCTTTCTGGCTGGCTGCAGGGCCTTCTTTTTCCCTCCTCACTTGATATGCTACACCTACACTCACCTCTTCTGTCAGAGCCTCTACCACCTCAGTGCAGGTGACAGCCCTGGCAGGATAGGCTGGCAGCTGAGGAGAAAAGAGAGAAAACTGATCCTCACTGGAGAGATGTTTCCCTTCCCTTCCTCTGTTTCTTGATCTCTGGGCCCTCTGTCCTCAGTCCAGTTGCTGTTATTAGCAGCTCAGAGCTGAGGTTGTCTGTGGCATGTCCCTGAAGCCCATTGGAATCTAAATGCTGTGGAGGGCTTGCTTCTTTTGTGCTGTTAGCTTGAGAACCCAACTTTCCATGTTGCCTTTGTCAATTCGTTTGGGAACTGAACCATCACTGTAAGAGTCTGTGCTGTCAAAGAACACATTTCAGGTTTTAAACAGCTGAGTTACCAACACTCATTGGAATGCAAGTGGGGATTGCTCTACATCTTCGTGCATTTGGCCATAGACGCACAGCCCACTTGCTGGCTACCATGCAGTTTCTTCCCCAGTTTCCTAGTTGTTAAACTTGATTAACAAATATGTTGATGGTTATTTTTTAATAGGAGAAAAATAAAGCTGGAGATGTTAAAACAGCTGTTGAAAAAACAGCTACAGACAAGAAACGAGAGCGGAGGAAAAAGAAATCTCAAAAGCGTATGAAACTAAAGGAGAAGGTGAAGCGGAGAAAACTGCTTGAAAAGAGCAGTCTAGATCAAGCAGGGAAATACAGCAAAGCAGTAGCTTCGGAGAAGTTAAAACAGCTGACCAAAACTGGCAAAGCTTCCTTCATAAAGGTAAGGACAAGGGAAAGAAAACTGCTCAAGGGGGCCTTTGCCGGGGGAAGTGAATAGCAAAGGCCTCTGGGTGACTGGAATGTCTGAGCCAGCTGCCAGCCCACTTCTGAGATGGAGACGCATGATACTGACCACCTGGAATCACCACCTTAAATGTTCTGGAGTTTTTCATGTAGGGTCCTCACAATAACTTGGGTCCTGGCAGCAGCTTTTCTTTCACTCCTTTCTCCCTTAGATTATAAGAACATGGTAGCAGTATAGAATACCTCTATGCTAACCGATTTAGTTTTCTGTAATTCTAGTCCTTTTTCATATTTGTAGTTGTATATATTGTTGTAATGATGATGTACTATTATATTTTTGGCTTTTTTCACTTATAAGTACATTTTACAGCATAAGCATGTGTTATTTTTAATTGCAGGATGAAGGTAAAGACAAAGCCTTAAAGTCCTCTCAAGCATTCTTTTCTAAATTACAAGATCAAGTAAAAATGCAAATCAATGATGCAAAGAAAACAGAAAAGAAAAAGAAAAAAAGACAGGATATTTCTGTTCATAAATTAAAGCTGTAATATATTTTGAATATAATGTAAATATTAATGTGTAAGCTTATATTGTGCCATTGTTCTGTTTCATAATAAAATTCTTGAGAACCTTTCTTTGCATCAATAGCAGATATTTGAGAGTTCCATAGTGTGAAAAGACAAACTCCAAACTGTTTGCAAAGCCCTCCCAGTTTTCACTGAGTATGAAGCAGGACCTGGCTCCGAGGCCCTTGCTGTTTAGGCACTGCCTGAGCTGATCCTGCTGTGCTCTTGCTATGGCCCAGGCCTGTGTGAAGGCCAGGCCAGCTTGTCCACATGGGCTGGTGAGCAAGCACTGGCCTGCAGGCTGAGAAGAGGACAGAGCCGGCCAACCCCCTCCCAAGAAGCTGTCTACAGCAGAGGTCCTCACTGTTTGGGGTCTTGATTTGCCCCTCCCACTGCCCTGTTGTTTCATGAAACAGTAGCATTTTGGCCGGGCATGGTGGATTATGCCTGTAATCCAAGCACTTTGGAGGCCAAGGTGAGGGGATCACCTGAGGTTGGGAGTTCAAGACCAGCCTGACCAACATGGTGAAACCCCGCCTTTAAAAAAAAAAAGAAGTAGCATTTTCATGCATGTGTCTTTCTTCCTTCCCCTTTGGGAAATGATCTCATGTCACCTGAACAAAGGATTAATGTAGGCTATAGACAATCAGATGCAGAGGACAGGTATGATGTGGAAGTGAATCTAGAAGCAACAGAAGCTCAATACAGCCAGGAATGTAAACTGCAGTCTTCAGAGTCTTCTGTGACCACCAGGTGCTCACTGTTTCAACCTCCCCATCCAGGGAAAATTGCCTTTTGTCCGATAGGCTCTCATGTTGATTTGTTGGAAATGCAGTAAGCCTTAGTCCAGAGGGGCAGAGAATGTGGACTACGATTCCAGCAAAACAACAGGTAAAGCCCTTCTAGTGTTTTATCTACAAGGGGTCAATCAGTGGTCAAGAAGAGCCTGTGGAAGTTTGCACTCTGCATTCCTGTTACTGCAGAAGCTGGGTGCAACAGGTAGAGCTAGGCTCTATGGGGCTAAATTAAGCACTAGCTTTTGTCCATTTGTGCTGTTACAACAAAATACCTAAGACTGGATCATTTAGAAACAACAGAAACATTTCTTACAGTTCTGGAGACGGAGGTCTAAGATGAAGGTGCTGGCTAGTGGCAGTGGTGAGAGCTGCTCTCTGCTCTAAGGGGTCCCTTGTTAGGTCCTCACTTGGCAGAAGGTGGAAGGACAAAAAGCCACCAAACTCACTCCATCAAGCCTTTTATAAGGATGCTAATCCTATCCATGAGGGCTTTGCCTTCAAGACTTAATCATCTAAAGGTCCTACCTCTTAATATCTAATTGGCCATTAAGTTTCAACACTTGAATTTTTTTTTAATTGCATTTTAGGTTTTGGGGTACATGTGAAGAACATGCAAGACTGCTGCATAGGAACACACATGGCAGTGTGATATGCTGCCTTCCTCCCCATCACCTATATCTGGTATTTCTCCCCATGCTGTCTCTCCCCAACTCCCCACCCCCAGCTGTCCCTCCCCTATTCTCCACCCACACACCTCAGTGTGTGATGTTTCCCTCCTGTGTCCATGTGTTCTCATTGTTCAACACCCACTTATGAGTGAGAACATGTGGTGTTTGATTTCCTGTTCTTGTGTCAGTTTGCTGAGAATGATGGTTTCCAGGTACATCCATGTCCCTACAAAGGACACGGACTCATCATTTTTGGTGGCTGCATAATATTCCATGGTGTATATGTGCCACATTTTCCCTGTCCAGTCTATCATCGATGGGCATTTGGGTTGGTTCCAGGTCTTTGCTATTGTAAACAGTGCTGCAATGAACATTCGTGTGCATGTGTCCTTATAGTAGAACGATTTATAATCCTTTGGATATATACCCAGTAATGGGATTGCTGGGTCAAATGGAATTTCTATTTCTAGGTCCTTGAGGAATCACCACACTGTCTTCCACATGGTTGAACTAATTTACACTCCCACCAACAGTGTAAAAGTCAACACTTGAATTTTTAAGGACACATACAGATCACAGCATTCCACCCCTGGCTTCTCAAATTCATGTTCTTAAATGAACACATTCATTCCATCCCAATAACCCCCAGAATCTTAACTTGTTCCAGCATCAACTTTAAATTCTAAGTCCAGAGTCTCCTGTAAACATGAATAAGACCAACTCAAAGTATGATTCATCCTGAGCCAGATTTCCCTCCAGCTGTCAAACAAGTTACGTGCTTCCAAAATACAGTGGTGGAATGGGGATATTATAGATACTCCCATTCTAAAAGGGAGAAATAGGAAAGAAGTAGCTTAGTCCCAAGTAAGTCCAAACCCCAGCAGGAAAAACAACATTAAATATTGAGGCTTGAGGATAATCTTTGACTTTATGTCTCACCTTCCAGTCACACTGGGGTGAGGGTTGGGTCCCTAAGGTTCCAGGTAGCTCCACCCCCATAGCTCTACTGGGGGCAGCCCATGCCCTGGCTCTCAGTGTTTGGAGTCCTGTGGCTGCAGCTCTCCCAGGCTGGTATTGCGCACTGGTGGCTCTATAGGTCCAGGGTCTCAGGGGCAGCCCTGCCCAATGGCTCTGCTGGGCATTGCCTGGGAAGGTGTCTCTGCTGTGGCCCTGCCCCGTGGCATTTCTCTGCCTGCATCTGATGCCCCTCAGTCCTTGTCATATCTCACTCGGTTTTCTGGCTGCCAACTCTTCGTACTGCACTAGCTCAGTCTGCTTTGCGGGCTCCTTCTATCCCGCCTTGTTAATGGAATATTCAGTCTTTTGACCTCTTAGTTTACTATCTACAGTCAGTCCTTGATCTGATATATTAATACCATTTAAACCCCAACAACTCCCAAATTTGTATTTCCAGTCTGACCTGACTTGATTAATTAATTCAAGGATTATCATCCACAAGAATGTCTAAGTGCTATCTCAAATTTGCATGTGTCCGAAACTGAACTCTAACTCTTTCCCTTCCATCCTGCCAGTTGCTCTGATTTGGGCATGATGTGATGGGCAGTAATCTAGTGACCGCAGGGAGTCACTGTGGTTTTGTGAGGACTCTGTGGGCATGTTCATGGGAATCAGAGCATACTCTTGAGGGAATGTGTTCTCTTTCCAGGTCCACAGCGGGGCATAGTTTTGGTTTTATTTTTGTTTTTTGTTGTTTTTGTTTTGAGACGGAGTCTCGCTCTTGTTACCCAGGCTGGAGTGCAGTGGTGCGATCTTGGCTCACCACAACTTCCGCCTCCTGGGTTCAAGCAATTCTCCTGCCTCAGCCTCAAGTAGCTGGGACTACAAGGGCATAGTTTTAAGGGCAAGAACTTCCCAGTGCCATGTCCCCCTCCCATCACTCTCCATCCAGGAGATTTAACGATTTATGTTTGAATTTCACGGGCACAGGAAGAAACTAAGTCAATCACTCCAGTGGAAGTTCTAAGGAACTACTTTCACTGGCCAGGGGTCTTAGAGAAGGTTGGGGGTTCCTCCCAAGTTAAAAGTCCCCTTCTTCCACACCCCTTCGGACTCCATGTTTGGATCTCCTTCCACGAACACTCAGTCCCTTTGTGGAAGCTATTTTTCTCTATCCTGGATTTCCCCTCTGAAGTCCCCTTGCACATCTCATGGAAGCCTGTCTTTCCCTCCTAAACTCTCTATTCCCTTCCACTTAGTGTGGAAGCTGATTTCCTCTCCTGGATTCCATCTTTCTGGATTCTCTCACTCAGTGTGAGAGTTAGCTGTTTCTTTCTCTCTCCTGTTTCTCTCTCTCTTTAAATAAATCACATTCTACAAACACTTTTGAGTCCTGCATTTACTGTGCACTGTGCTGTGGTCCCCTCTCTCATTCTTGAGAGGGCAGGAGACCAAGAACTTGGAGAAATGTCCTCTCAGGGGAACTGAGGGCACCCTGAACCCCAATATTACACTCTAAGTTTTGTATTGAGAGGGATGCATGTAAAAGAGACAAGATTTGGCCGGGCGCGGTGGCTCAAGCCTGTAATCCCAGCACTTTGGGAGGCCAAGGCGGGTGGATTACAAGGTCAACAGATTGAGACCATCCTGGTCAGCATGGTGAAACCCCGTCTCTACTAAAAATACAAAAAATTAGCTGGGCATGGTGGCGCGTGCCTGTAATCCCAGCTACTCAGGAGGCTGAGGCAGAAGAATTGCCTGAACCCAGGAGGCGGAGGTTGCAGTGAGCCGAGATCGCACCATTGCACTCCAGCCTGAGTAACATGAGCGAAACTCCATCTCAAAAAAAAAAAAAAAGAGACAAGATTTTGTGCTTGGTGATGTTTGCTCCTGCAAGCTGGCATTTGGTTACAATGAAAGCAGCTGTTTTTCTTTTATAGGTATATTTGATAATTGTAAAACAATCTTCTCGAGATTAAAAAAAAATACAATGTGACTTAGAAAAGCACACTTTGAATTTTGATCATGTTAACAGGCTTACCTTTAGGTTGTTTTGTTGTTCCTCAGAGATTAAAGTAGGAATAAAATAAAAGACAGGAAAAACCAACCAACCTGAGGCATGTTTTCTTTCTCCTGACAACATTTTAGATTCATTCCCTGTGCCTTTTAAAGACAGGGTGGGAGGATATGAAAACTTTCAAGCTGAAATTGGTACAATTAAAAACATGAATCTATGCCTCAAGTCCTTGGCCGCCAGGGGTGGCACCAAGCCAGTAGTGCAGATCCTTGTAAAAGCCACCCTTGTGTCCTTGCAGTGTTATTCCAGAGGACCATGATGGCTCTGTGGAAGTGAGTACCTGAAGGTAGCAAAAAATTACTTGGTGGTCACACTGTCTTATAGTAAAATGCAGCCATGCCTGATGTTGCATTTATCTAAGAAAGAAAGAAAAAAAAAAAATCCCATCTTTGGGAGGCTAAGAACAAAAAAAAAAGAGAAATCCTGGCCGGGGGCAGTGGCTCACGCCTGTAATTCCAGCACTTTAGGAGGCCAAGGTAGGAGGCTCATTTGAGGTCAGGAGTTCGAGACCAGCCTGGTCAACATGGTAAAAGTCTGTTTTTTTCTAAAAATACAAAAATTAGTTGGGCGTGTTTGTGAGTGCCTATAATCCCAGGTTCTCTGGAGGCTGAGGCAGGAGAATTGCTTGAATCTGGGAGGTGGAGGCTGCAGTGAGCTAAGATGGCACCACTGCACAACAGCCTGCGTGACAGAGGAAGACTCCATCTTTTAAAAATTAAATAAAATTCAACATTTATTTTCCTTTTTTCTTTAAAATGGCAAAGTTGACCTGGCATGATGGCTCATGCTTGTAATTCCAGTGCTTTGGGAGGCTGAAGCAGGAGGGTCGCTTGGGCCCAAGAGTTTGAGGTTACAGTGAGCTATGATTACACCACCACACTCGAGCCTGGGTGACAGACAGAGACGCTGTCTCTAAAAAAATAAAAAAAATAAAGTGGCAAAAACAATTAGCAGTAGTTACTTTACACACCAACAGATTTTTAACAATTAAAAAAATACACTTATGCCACTTTAGAATTGCTCAAAATTTAAATATAATCTGCCTGGTAGAGAGACCTAACAGGTTAATTTAGAAGCGTGGCCAAGATCACTGGGTTAGAGGTGACTGCCCTACTAAAGCTAGACTTGTTTGGAATATTCTTTTCAGATTATTTTCAATCAAAAATAAAATAATGTATATAAAAGCAGAGAATAAAATAAGAATTCCAGGCAGGACTTCTCTGAGGGAGTAGAAATGCTGATGACTAGAAAATGGGGAACTTAAGTTTAGAAGTTTTATTTATTTATTTATTTTTTTGAGACAGAGTCTTGCTCTGTCACCCAGGCTGGAGTGCAGTGGTGTAATCTTGGCTCACTGCAACCTCTGCCTCCTGGGTTCAAGCGCTTCTCCTGCCTCAGCCTCCTGAGTTGCTGGAACTACAGATACCTGTCACTATGTCCAGCTAATGTTTGTATTTTTAGTAGAGACAGGGTTTCACTATGTTGGCCAGGCTGCTCTCAAACTCTTGACCTCAGGTGATCCGCCCCCCTTGTCTCCTAAAGTGCTGGGATTACAGGTGTGAGCCACCTTGCCCAATCTGATTTTAGAAATGACTAACAATTATTAACAAATTTAATAAACTTTTTAAATGGTTTATATTATAAAATGACATCCTCATACATATGGTAACTATATGTGTATTTCTAATATAGTACATTTATTCACCTTAGGTTTAATAGGTAAGTGTGGTGTTTTTCACCATTTTTCTTAATTTTATTGCAGCTAGTGGTTAGAGGTTATATGTAAGGCTCTTTCAATATAAATTAACCTGGATTAAGATGAGTACATTAGAATATAAAAAGATTGCCTCAGACTTAAAACCTGTGATTGAAGAATTGAAGCACGCAGGCTTTCTACAGGCAGGTAAGATTAGTACAAGGAAATGTGCAATGAAAATATGATCTGAAGCATTGAGCTTCTGCAGAATGGTGGCAATATTAGTATGGCGCCCTCTCCTGGGTGGTGTCTGGTAACTTGTAATTTTTTATTTTTTTTATTTATTTTTTTGAGACAGAGTCTCTTGCTCTGTCACCCATGCTGGAATGCAGTGGCACAATCTCGGCTCACTGCAACCTCTGCCTCCTGGGTTCAAGCAAGTCTCCTGCCTCAGCCTCCCAATTAGCTGGGACTACAGGTGCCCACCACCACTCCCGGCTAATTTTTGTATTTTTAGTAGAGACGGGGGTTTCACCATGTTGGCCAGGGTGGTCTCGAACTCCTGACCTCAGATGATCACCTGCCTCAGCCTCCCAAAGTGCTGTGATTACAGGTGTGAGCCACCTCGCCCGGCCAATAACTTGTTATTTTTTAAATTGAATTTTTAATCCTAGGATGACAAGTTGTTCAGGTGATGTTAAAGCCATTCTTAGCCTGAGTTGAGAATACTAGAATAATGAAAGATCGTCTGCTGTTGTTTTCTTGACTGTGGCAGGTTTAGAAGCAAAGTCACCTGGGAATAGACTTGTGGGTGTGTGCCACAGAAGAAATACATCCCTTTTTGGTGAAACCCCATCTCTATTAAAAAAAAAAAAAAAAATTAGCTGGGTGTAGTGGTATGCACCTGTAGTCTCAGCTGCTTGGGAGGCTAAGACACAAGAATCGCTTAAACTAAACCTGGAGGCAGAGATTGCAGTAAGCTGAGATTGTACCACTGCACTCCAGCCTGGGTGACAGAGCGAGACTCTGTCTTAAAAAGAGAAAAATAAGACAGTGAACTTATTCTATATAACTTTTGAAGAAAGTTAACTCCTTTGAGCTGACTTGGGATGTCCCACCATGCCTGTTTCCATAATGCTAGAGGCATCATGATTTAAATAAAGTTTTATGAGATTCTGTGCCAGAGGATGTCCTTTCTCCTGTGTTGCTCTGGGACTTCACTGAGACCACAGCTACGAGCAGGAATAGGGTGGAGCACTTCTGATCCTGGGGACACAAATCATTATTCCTCTTAATGTGTCTCTTGTTTATTTAATTTGATTTATTTATTTTGAGATGGAGTCTTGCTCTGTTGCCCAGGTTGGGATGCAGCAGTGTGATCTTAGCTCACTGCAACGTCTGCCTCCCAGGTTCAAGTGATTCTCCTGCCTCAGCCTCTTGAGTATCGGGGACTACAAGCATGTGCCACCATGCCCAGCTGATTTTTATATTTTTAGGAGAGACAGGGTTTTGCCATGTTGGCCAGGCTGGTCTCAGACTCTAGGCCTCAAGTGATCCACCCATTTCAGCCTCCCAAAGTGCTGGGATTACAGGCACGAGCCATTGTGCCTGGCCTTTTGTTTATTTCTATACCACCTGGGTCTTGGTTTAGTCCTAGAAGGAAGATACTAAATGTTTGAAGGAATGAACAAATAATTGAATGAATGAATGAATGAATGAAACAACCTCATTGTCTAAGTACTAGTAGTCCCCCCCTTTTTTTTTTTTTTTGACCTCTGAACTTTTTATTGGCCTCCTGCTCCCTCAAGGGTCCCCTGCTTCTGCTGGCCTAATGTCTCAGAACTTTGGTGTCGTTGGTCTCAGACACCACTTTGCCATCCACTATCCCGCGGGTGGTCGTCTTTTGGATGGTTTGCATGGAGTTACTGCTGTTCAAGGCATCACTGAGACTGAAGTCCTCCCCATCTTCCAGCAGGCGGCGGTAGGTGGCGATCTCAGCCTCCAGCTTGACCTTGATGTTCAACAGAGCCTAGTACTCCTGGGCCTGGCGCTGTCCCTCTGCCCGGGTCTGTGCCAGCTCTGACTCCAGGTGCAGCAGGATCCTGTTGAGCTGCTCCATCTGCAGGGCGTAGCGGGCCTCCACCTCCCTCAGGCTGTTCTCCAAGCTGATCTTCGTATTTTTCATGGAGTCCAGGTCGATCTCCAAGGACTGGACTGTATGTCTCAGCTCTGTGAGCGTCATCTCAGCAGCTTCAACCTCAGTGGACTGTGTGGTGACTATTGTGTTACTCTCCTCAATCAGCTGAGTCCAGTACTTGCCCAGCTCCTCTCGGTTCTTCTGAGCCAGCTCGTCATATTGAGCCCAGATTTCTGCCATGATCTTAGCGAGATCCTGAGATTTGGGGGCATCTACCTCCGTGGTCAACCCAGAGCTGGCAATCTGGGCTTGTAGGCCATTTGGTTCTTCTTCATGAAGAGCAGCTCCTCCTTGAGAGCCTCGATCTCTGTCTCCAGCTGCAGCCAAGTGACATTGGTGTCATCGATGACCTTGAGGAGACCATGGATGTCGCTCTCCACAGACTGGCGCATGGCCAGCTCTGTCTCATACTTGACTCTAAAGTCATCAGCAGCAAGACGAGCATTGTCAATCTGCAGAACGATGCGGGCATTGTCCACAGTATTTGAGAAGATCTGAGCCCTCAGGTCCTCGATGGTCTTGAAGTAATGGCCCCAGTCTCTGACCTGGGGTTCCTTCTTCTCCAGGTGCTCCCGGATTTGGCTCTCCAGCTTCCGGTTCTCGGTCTCCAGGCTCCTGACTCTGTCCAGGTAGGAGGCCAGGCGGTCGTTCAGGATTTGCATGGTCTCCTTCTCGTTCTGGATGCCTCCCATTCCTGCCAGACCCCTGGCCATCCCCGCCGCCAGGCCCCCGACCCCCACGCCGCTCCGGAAGCTGGCGGAGAGCGTTACAGAGACGCGGGAACCCGAGCCCCCGGCGTCTGCATAGACGCTGGCCGCGCTGCTGACCGGGCGGGCGCCATAGCTGGGCACCCGGACGGAGCCCACAGACCGGTAGTTGGTGGAAAAGGAGGAGCGAGTGGTGAAGCTCATGCTGCCCGGGGAGGAGAGGAGAGGACAGGGCTCAGGCTTTGTGTACGACCTAGTAGTCCCTTTTTATAGATAAGGAATCTGGGGCTCAAAGACTGCCCTCCCTCGGAAGTAGCAACAACTGGAGTGCAAACCCAGTTCTATTTGTCTCAGACCAGTGATTCCTCTACTGCATCAAGAAAGTTATAATTACCTTCCGGGTGTCTTGAAAGAAAAAAAAGAAAGTTGTGATAATTAAGTACAGGTTTCATTTAATCTTCCTTTCAACTAATAGTTTTTAAGAGCTTCCTGCCTGCAAGGATGAAGCTATTAATGTCCCCTTGAAAGCACAGATGATCAGCCACAAGATTTTGAAGTAGCGAAAAAAAGCCTTTCTGCCAGTCCCTAACCTGAACAATACTTGGTCATCTAAAGCAGTGGCCCCCAAATAAAAATTCCCAGGACCCTCCCCCAGAAATTCAAATTCATGCATCTGAAGGAGATGACTTGGGAACCTCTATTGTAACTACTGCTCTGGGCTGATGTGGTACACAGCCAGCCACTGCACACAGCCCGGCAGGAAAGAAGCTTCATGAGAGTAAAGAGTAAGCATATTTTTTACTTTGTTCACAGACATTAACTGAACACCTACTATGTCCCAGTCACTATTCTAAGTCCTAAGGATACAGCAGTGAACAAAACAAAACCCTTATCCTCCTTTATTTCTATGGGTGGTGAGGGTGTGAGATGGGGAGACATGACCAAGCAAAGAAATAGGCCAGGCGTGGTGGCACATCCCTGCAGTCCCAGCACTTTGGGAGGCTGAGGCAGGTGGATTATTTCAGCCCAGGAATTCAAGATCTGCCTGGGCAACATAGTTAAACCCCATCTCTACCAAAATAAACAAACAAATAGACAAAAATTAGCTGGGCCTGGTGGTGCATGCCTGTAGTCCCAGCTACTCAGGAGGCTGAGGTGGGAGGATCACTTAAGCCTGGTAGGCAGAGGTTGCAGTGAACCAAGATAATGCCACTGCACTCCTGCCTGGGCAACAGAGTGAGACACTGTCTCAAAAAAAAAAAGTACGAAAAAGTAGAGGAGAGAAATAAGTACCCATTTTTAAACGTTGAAAAGAATATCTGGGAAATTACCACTAACTGAGCAACTGATTCAGAGAATGATTAGATGTTCTAACCCCACACACACACTTATTCTCTCCTTAGATTTTATAATCTGCATTCAATGAGCATCATTCATTCAATAAGAAGCTCTTACTGAGTGTCTCCTTGTGTGTCAAACATTGTGCTAAGCTTGGGGACACAGATGTGAAGACAGGATTGTACATGGAGGAACCTGAACTTTGGAGTGCCTCAAAGGGTACATAGCATAATCCCACCCCTCTGTCACCTATGCCTAACCACTCATGGAATGGATACCTCCAGCCTCAATGATGACTTCTGAAATGGAAACTTGACCTTAAGTGTTATAATCAGAGCAAAACCCAGGACTTTTGTTCCATGGCAAAGAAAACCATGGAACAAAAGCCATGGATGCTGCAGAAGGTAGATGTGATACCTGGCACAGCTGCAGTCATTTTATGACTATGAGGAAGGGTGGAGGACAGAAAAGAAAACAATTATATAGACGAGAGAAGAGTCCTGGGAATGAAAAGAAGCAGAGCCAGAGCTCTGAACCAATTCTGCCTACACATGACAGGTTGCTGGACTTCGCACTTAAGCCAGCCTCCACATCCTTTTAAATAAGGTGATTTAAACAAATCACTCTGTAGCTAAGAGCTCTAGCTGAAGTGGGCATGTATTATGTTTTTGCCATTTATGTGACAAATTTAATTGAGTCCTCACAACAGCTTTTTAATTAGATTGATAGCCTCATTGACAGATGAAAATACTGAATCCAGTGGCTAAGGGACTTCCTGAGGTCACCCCATTATATAAGTAAGGGAGTTGGGTTCTAGAAGTTGGACTCCAACACCTGTTTGCTGCAAAAAAAAGTTGTGTATTGTATTGGCATGGGGAAATGTCATCAAATTCTTCTCTCTCTTTGGGATCCTTCTGGAATTGTTTTTTTCTGTTTTTGTTTTTGGAACTAGAGAATGGATCAAGTTTCATGGCTGGGTTGACAAGAGCATGCAGGGGGACAGGCCATGTGATGCTTGAGGCAGCGTCCCCAGACCCCTGCAGAGAGTTTGGGGAAAGCTTCAGAAGGTGTGGAATTGCAGAGGCAGGACCACAATTAACTAGATCTCCAGAGCCAAGGAACCCCACTGCCATCTGGGCTCTGAGTAGAAAAAGAGAAATCTGAGTCCTGTAGAGAAAACGTCAGTACATTTCTGCTATGATGACCTCCTCATTTTTGCATACAGAGCAAGCTTGACATTTATATAGATTGATTCCAGCTTGACGTTTTGGCCAAAGGAACTATTAACCCCTCCCCTCAGTTCCTGGGGGGAAACCAGCTTGTGGAGCCTGACCTACAGGTAACCCCCCTCAAGCTGTTCCAGCCCCTTTTCTGGCTCAGTCTCTGGCTGGGAATGGATGCCTTCTCTATGACTCTGAGGAGGTATGGCCAACAGGAAGCAAAGCTACTCTCTCCTGGGCTAATTTTTCACCCTGGCTGGTTTTGCTGGAGATGCAATCAAAGCAAAATCTCAATTTCTGGGGCAGGAGGAACAGCCCGTGGCAGCCATCTGCACCTGGGCTGTTAGAGAAAAGCTCCACGCAGCCTTTAGAAACCAAACTTAAGATTTAAAAAGGAAGAGTTTTATTGCGTTGACAATTGCTTTACAATTCACTAAGTAACACACCTGCCCTTCATACAGAGGTATGTACTTTCGCTCTGTTGCTCCATCTGACCGTAGCTACAGCCCTGCAAGGGGACAGGCGTGTGTTATGATTGTCTTTTCACTCCAAGAATGTTGAAGCCCAGAGAGGTCAAGCCAGTTCACTCCAAGAATGTTGAAGCCCAGAGAGGTCAAGCCAGTTGCCTTACTTGCACAGTGGTCAAGTTGGTGGTTTTAGCCTCTGACAGTCCAGTGCCCTTTCTACTCCACACCTTTCATGCAGATTTAGAGGGAAACAGAAAGAATCTTCTAAACTTAAAATTTAACAACATGCACCCCCTGTCTCTACCACTCTCAGAAGAAATGAGGGCATCCTCCCCATACCACGTTGCCCTCGAGGGATACCTCCATCTATCCTCGCTCTGACCACTCTGCTCCATTTGCCCTCTTCTGTAGGACTGTGAGCTGCTCAAGGGAAGGTGACAATGGAGTTGCATCTGGGCAGCAAGATGTGGAGCGCTGCTGACATTTGGGAGTCCATTTGGGACTGGATAGTTTTTGTTTTACAGACATTTAAACAAGTCTGCCAGGCATTTAGCATTACTGGACCCTGGTCATTAAAATCCAGCAGTGCTTCCTCATTCTTTTAACTCCCCCAACGCACAAAACAGCCCCTGACTTTCCACATCTCCCAGGATGGAGGGAACGGGTTGGAGAAGGCAGGCAGTACCACCCCCGGTTGAGAACCCAGACTTTGGAATAAGACGGTTGAGGTTTCAAAAATTGCCTCTGCTCTCCCTCGCAGAAGGAACTTGGAGGCCTGGATTCCTGATTCAGAAATTTACCCCAGAGAGTCACCGGGAAGATGAAACGAGCTAATGGACTCAAAGCATGAAGCTCTGTGCCAACATGAGATGTTTTGCTTAAGTAACTAATAACAAATGAAGTCCTGTCCCATTAAGAGTTGGCCCTACTGTGTGTATAGCAGGTGCTCAATAAATGTGACTTCCTTATTCTGCATTCTCAGCACGTATCTCAACAGCCACATCAATAAAAAACATTTACTGGCTACTTATTATACATAGGCAGTGAGCAAAGAATTCGACACATTGCCCCATTTATTCCCACAACAACCCTATGAGGTAGTTATAAGTATTGTCTATCTTACAAATGCAGGAACTGAGAACCATAGAGCAGAGGTGGGCAAACTGCAGCCTGGGGGCCAAATCCGGCCACTGCCTGTTGTTATTGGAGCACAGCCTCATTCATTTATTCATGTGTCGTCTATGGCTGCTTTTATGGCTGTTGTCTATGGCCGTTGTCTATGTGTATGGCTGCTTATTTACATTGAGTAGTTGCTGGCAGCAAAGACCATACATGGCCTGCACAACCTAAAATATTCACTGTCTAATCCTTTACAGAAAAAGTTTACTGACCTCTACTCTGGAAGATAAATTTAGTTGCTCAATCTAGAAGATTAATTTAGAAGGTGACAAAACTGTTTACCGGTGGAGCCATGAGTCCAACTCAGTTCAGTTTGGTTCCAAAGCTCAGGCTCTCAGATGCCACACACTCCCACTGGAGGTAGTAGATTTTCTTTTTTTTTTTTTAATTTTTTATTGGATTATAGGTTTTGGGGTACATGAGCAGAGCATGCAAGACAGTTGCGTAGGTACACACATGGCAGTGTGCTTTGCTTTTCTTCTCCCCTTCACCCACATTTGGCATTTCTCCCCAGGCTATCCCTCCCCACCTCCCCCTCCCACTGGCCCTCCCCTTTTCCCCCCAATAGACCCCAGTGTTTAGTACTCCCCTTTCTGTGTCCATGTGTTCTCATTTTTCATCACCCACCTATGAGTGAGAATATGCGGTGTTTCATTTTCTGTTCTTGTGTCAGTTTGCTGAGGATGATGTTCTCCAGATTCATCCATGTCCCTACAAACGACACGAACTCATAAAAAATATGGAACGCTTCACGAATTTGCGTGTCATCCTTGCGCAGGGGCCATGCTAATCTTCTCTGTATCGTTCCAATTTTAGTATATGTGCCGCCGAAGCGAGCACGTAGATTTTCATTAAGTGGTCGTTAGATACTGAACTTGTAAAACATATATTTTAAAATAGATCATGTTATGTATTTGTGTTTTTTTTTGTGATAAATGTTTGTAACATAAAACATACCATTTAGCTATCTTTTTTTTTTTGAGACAGAAGCTCGCACTGTCACCCAAGCTGGAGTGCAGTGGTACAATCTCGGCTCACTGCAACCTCCCCCTCCTGGGTTCAAGTAATTCTGCCTCAGCCTCCCAAGTAGCTGGGATTACATGCACCCACCATCACGTGCAGCGGATTTTTTGTATTTTTAGTAGAGACGGGTTTCACTATGTTGGCCAGGCTGGTCTCAAACTCCTGACCTTGTGATCCGCCCATCTGAACCTCCCAAAGTGCTGGGATTACAGGCATGAGCCGCCACACCCCGCCCCATTTAACCACTTCAAGTATACAGTTCAGTGCCGTGAAATGCATTCGCAGTGCTATACAATCATCGCCGTTACCCATCTCCAGAACTTTTTCATCATCCCAATCAGAAACTCTGTACCCATTAAACAGTAACTTCCTTCCCTCTCCCCGCAGCCCCTAGTAACCATTATTCTACTTTCTGTCTATGAATTTGCCTATTCTAGGTACCTCGTGTGAGTGGATTTGTTTTTCTGTGTCTGTCTTATTCCACTTAGGATGTTTTCAAGGTTCATTCATGTTGTAGGGTGTATCAGAGTTTTATTTCTTTTTAAGGCAGAACAATGTTCCATTGTGTGTACTGTACAGATGTTCACTGATTTATGACACAGTTACATCCTAATAAACCCACTGTAAATGGAAAACACCGTGTCACAAATGCATTTAATACACCCAAACTGCTGAACATCATAGTTTAGCCTAGCCTACCTTAAACATGCTCAGAATGCTTACATTAGCCTACAGTTGGGCAAAGTCATCCAATGCAAAGCCTATCTCATAATCAAATATTGAATATCTCGTGTAATTTATTGAATACTGAAAGTAAAAATCAGAATGGTTGTATGGGCACTTAAAGTGCAGTTCCTACTGAATGTGTATCATTTTTGCACCACTGTAAAGTCAAAAAATATGAAGTTGAACAATTGTAAGCTGGAGACTGTCTGTGTTTGTTTTTGAATAGATAGCACATGCACAGAGTACATTCAAAACCTGCAGAGGATCTAGAGTGAAGGGTAAATCCCTCTCCTATCCCTTCCCCATCCCAGCCCCAGCTCCCCTCCCAAGAGACAACTGATGTTACTGCATTCTTGTGTATCTTTTCTAAGAGTGTCTATGTACACTAAGCATCTAGGTTTCAATCGTATTTTAAAATAATATTTTTACACAAGTATTATATTCTTCCTGCATCTTGCTGCTATCTTTTCTCTTTTTTTTTTTTTTTTTGATACAAAATTTCGCTCTTGTTGCCCAGGCTGGAGTGCAACGGTGCAATCTCAGCTCACTGCAACTTCTGCCTCCTGGGTTCAAGTGATTCTCCTACCTCAGCCTCCCGAGTAACTGGGATTACAGGCACATGCCACCACGCCTGGCTAATTTTTTTGTATTTTTAGTAGAGACAGGGTTTCACCATGTTAGTCAGAATGATCTCGATCTCCTGACCTCATGGTCCACCCGCCTCTGCCTCCCAAAGTGCTGAGATCACAGGTGTGAACCATTGCGCCCGGCAATGGTTCCAAGCCAAAATAATTCTCCAGATAGCACAATTTCCCCTAAAAATGCAGTCCAAAATGGAATGGGTAAGAAACATGCTTCCTTCCGTCTTCTAGTACATTGGTTGTAAAAACTCATCTGAAAAATATGACAAATTCACTTAAAAATATGACAATATTCACTGTAATACTGTCATAACTGAAAAAATATATTTAAAAAACCCTAAATGCCCACTTATAAGGACCAGATAAATAAAATATGATATATTCATGCAGTGGGATTATAAGCAGTTGTTAAAAGAGTGAGATAGCTCTAAATATAATAATATGAAACAACCTCCAAGACATATTTTTAAGAATCCCACGGCCAGGCACAGTGACTTACACCTGTAATCCCGGCACTTTTGGAGGCCCAGGTGGGAAGGAAGCATGTTTCTTACCCATTCCATTTTGGATGGCATTTTTAGGGGAAATTGTGCTATCTAGAGAATTATATTTGGGGAGTATTTGGCCCAGATCCTTCTCGGAGGAAGCCCAGAGAGGCTTCCCTAGGTCAATCCTGGGGCAGGCCCCACTTCCTTCATTTCCTCCAGTTCGTTCAGTTAATACATACTTAGTGCCTCTCATATGCCAGGCACTGTGCCCTACACTTCACTCTGTCAGCTCTGGCAATAGGGACTAGTATTAGTTTGCATTTGTGGATGACGAAATCAAGGCTCAGAGAGGTTAAGTCACCTAAGACCACGTGGTTAATGAATGACATTGCTGTACTGGGATCTAGAGTCTGAATCCAGCCCAGCGACTTCCAGTGCCAAGCTTACACCAGATCCACACTCAGAGAAGAGGAAGCTACATTGTGGTGAACAACAGGACTTCCCAGAATTGGTGTGTGGCCTGAGGCCACGAAGGACTACGTTAGGAGAGGGGCACCGACTGCTTATCTGTAATGTAATCAGCTTCAGATTTTCAGCATCAGCAAGGCAGGGCCCCCGTGAGCAGGCCAGGGTGGCAGGAGGCTCTTTGGTGACCCTGGATGGGCTCTGCTGGTGGCAATTTAATCCCACCATTAGTTTTTGAGCTCTTGCCACATGCTAGGCAGAGGCCCTGCCCCAGGAATCCCACATTGTACCAGCTGTCATCATGTCATGGCCTGAGTCTCTGCTGTGGCTTCAGTATCTCATGTTCCCTTCTTCCTGGATATCCACCTTAGAGGATCCTTGAGGCCAAGGCCAAGGCATCCCCAGAATCCCCAAGTTTGTGGGCCCCTGGCTGGCAGGACTGATGCTGATCAGAGTCCTGCCCTCACCTCCTTCTCCCAGTCCAGGCCAGGGATGACTTCTGCTCACCTGGGTCTCCCCTGAGCTCAGCCTAGCTCCAGCCCGTGGTGAGTCACAGGTTGGGAATCAGCTGAGGGCTAGCCCTGGAGATCCCTGAATAATGCATCAAAGCCATTCTCCCCTGCAGTCATTAGGGTGGGGGTGAGACAGTGCTGGATAATGCAGAGGAATCAGTGTGTCCCCTGCCCCAGGAAAAATACTAGGGGCTCCAAAGGCCTTTGCCCTGTGTGCATGGGCTTGAGGTCCACGGGGCTGGGTGACCCAGTACACAGGTGAACCGAGGCCGACTCAGGGTGACTACAAAACCAGTATATCTTCCAAAAGAGGGCAAAGGAGGTTTAGCTTCCAAATAACTTTTGTAATTGGAATATTTAAGAAAAGAGCCATTTTATTTTTAGTGTACACATAAAAGTTATATGGTTTGTGGTTTTGTTTTTATTTTGAAATTCCCCCTGGGGAGAAGCACCAAAGCATCTTCAGTGCTTAGACCTGGAAAGGTCAAAATCCATCCCGGAGATCTAGTCACAACCACAGGACCACAGAAGGGCAGAGCTGGGAGGGCCCATGGAGGTCACTTCATCCACTCACCCCACTCCCAGAACTGTACAGACTGGGCAGTCCAGGCCAATTCAAGCATCCCTTTCTGGGTCTATGAAGGAGGGCAGTGGAGAGCTGCAGAGGAGAAGGAGGGAGGGGATCAGGAGGAGGAGGAGGAGCAGGAGGAGGAAATGGAGATGGAAGAGGAGGAGAGTGCCAGGCTGACAGAAATTTTTGCTCCTCTTGGCACCCTGCTCCTACCCCTGGACCTAATAGAGCCTTCTCAGGTGCTATGCCCTGAATGTTTGTATCCTGCATGATGGGATTAGTGCCCTTATAGGAAGAAACATAAGCAAGCATGCCTTTCTCTCTCTCTCTCTGCCATGTGAGGATCCAGCAAGGAGGCATCTGTATGAGAAACCAAGAAGAGTCCTCACCCAGTCCCAACCATGCTGGCAGCCTGATCTCAGACTTCCCAGCCTCTAGAACTATGAGAAATGAATTACTGTCTAAGCCACCTGGTAATCTGTCATTTGTTTTAGCAACCTGTGCTAAGGCACCAGGCCACCTATATGATTTGACTGCCTGCTCTTTGCTGACTAAACCCCGGGGACCCTGGTTCTCTGCCCTTTTCTCTGGTCACCCCTTCCCTGTGTGCCATCCTTCCTGCAGCCTGCAGCCTGTGCAGCTCCTCAGTCCACCGTTCTTGGCCATTTCTTCCATCTGTGACCATTCTCTCATTCCCTCTGGGATGAGCTCACTACCTCCTTTGGTACCAATTACTATCTATGGCAATGGTTCTCAACCTTGGATAGACCCACACCCCCCTCCAGAGACTTTGAGTGATTGGTCTGGGGTACAGCCTGGCCATAAAGGATTCTGGAAGCTGCTGAGGGCATTCTAATATAGACCACTGGGCAGTAAAGTGTTAGTTAGCTCAGTAGCCTTGGACCACTCCAACCCTGCACATCCCAAAAAAAGGACTGGTCCTTGACCAGCTCTGGGGAGAAAACCTCT